TGAGACTAAGGCATAATATAATAATCATTACCGCGAACTGTATAATAAAAGCACCAGTAACATTGGCTGCAATATTCGCAGATGTTACAAAAGCTTCGTCTGTTCAGTGGTATGAGAATTGTAGGGAAATATCCATAAGAAAAATGATAAGCTTACACAACCGGAGTACACACAAACAATATTGATGCTATGTAGTCGAGGTTGATAAAGTTTTTGCGACTTTATCATGGCTTCATAAACCGACTATTATGGAGCCATATGGATGAGTTCCTCTTCATCAGAAGGGGATTTATGGAGATTTCAGTATATTTCAAAGTTGAAATCACGAGTTCCTCTGCCTTATGTTTTACAATTTTAGAATCTTTGAACCTCTTTCTAAACTTGACAAATGTTTGGACCACGTAAAAGAAGTGTATCCACTTTAATTCTTTCATTTTGTATGATATATATTTACTCTACACCAGCTGTTTCCTGATTAGGTAATATTTCTCAAAGTCACTTTAGATTCTTTCAAAGGTCGTCCATAATTTATAATCTCACCTTAGGTTTTCATTATCATATTTCTTGTTTGAGATCATAAATGAATCGATAGTAGATCAGAATTGAAAAGCTGGAAATGCTGGACGGCCATTTTGTCTTAGTAAGGGACTCCTGAGCGGTGTGTATTCACGATCCTACAAGCGAGATTCAAACCCAGGACCTTCGGTTTCACGGGCGAAAGCCAAAACTCTAGACCACTGAGCCGGCATCCAACGGCTGATATCTAATTTTATTATCGTGGTAGTCACTTAAAATCAAGCATTTTACTGAGAACTAGGTTTTCAATATCATACTCCTTGTTCGAGATCATGAATGAATTGATAGTAGACCAGAATTGAAAACCTGGAAATACTGGACGACCATTTCGTCCTAGTATGGGAATTCTGAGTGGTATGCATTCACGGTTCAACACGCAAGATTCGAACAGAGGATCTTTGATCTCATACGAGAATGCCTAACTTTTAGACCCCTAACCCGGCTGATATCAAATTTCAATATCATGGCAATCATTTTAGAAAGTATTTGATTACAAATGACTGTAACTATTGAAACCATCATATATTTTATTCTCATTTATTACAACACCTTAACTGATTACAAGAAAGATTTTCTATGAATCTACAGGGGCGTTGTTTGAGATTCTTATCAACTATATATGATTTGATGAAGTAAATCGATAATATATAGTATATATTTGTGACTATTTGTGACTGACCAGTTGTCGTCCTAACAAATCGATGGGAAGATTCAAACAAACAATACTAAGTTGAATTTAAACTTCACCCCATCGCACAAGCAAGTGGCTATCAGGACTCAGTGGCCGAGTGGATAACGAGATGACGTTTGAAGCGAAAGGTACTGGGTTCGAGTCCCAGATTGAACATCAACTCTGAGATGTAGGTACATCCAACTGACGAGTCCCAAATAGAACGAAGTGGCGCGCTTCAAACTTGATTCAACTGCTAGCCACTATCCATTTTTGCTTATCATGTTTGTGACTATTGTTTGTTCCATGAACCCTTTTTGGCTGAATACACTCAAATGTAAATCTTGCTTGTTACTAACTTATCACTTAACAAATAAAAGAATAAGATTATTTTGTTAATATGCTAACAAAAAGTGTTGACAACAGAATAAATCTGATTTCAAAATGTGTGTTGAGGGGGTGGGGTGGGGTGATGTGGTATATTACATAATCCAATACTAAGCAAGAGACATCGTAGTCAAGACATGAAATTGATTGTCTTCATCATATTGACATTCATTTCAATCTATAATTCATTACTAATTCAGTAAAATATCAAGAAGTCAATCAAAGAAACTGGACTATTTCAAAGGAAACGGTTCAAATCATAGTTCAAATATCAGGTTGATGTAACTGTGATAAGAATGTATTACATAACTTTAAATGTTGTTTTGATACTTTTGGTAAAATAACTGAGTTCATAGTTTGGTTCAAATAATTGAGTCTCATTACGTTGATGAAATACTATTTGTAAAGTTCCTAAATACTAGGAACCAATGGTTAACTGTGTTCCTGAAATATATAAATGAAATAATTAACAATGTATCAGTAAATAATATAAAATTGTAAAATAATTTCAATTACACTAAGGTAACACTGGTTAGTTTGCTTTGATTTGACAAATAATTAAGACTGTACTGATAGTTGGAACATTTTATTATGACTTTATTTGGTTGGTGTTCATTCAAAGGTTGATTGAAGTGTTTCCTCGTTGATTAAAATGTATTTTCATGGTTGGAATCAGAAATCTATCTAGGCCAGTCTAACACCGTAAATAAGGAAGCATTGAATGGTCGTGTCCTCTTAGTATGGCGATCCTCATGAGTGCAAGTCAAAAATGTTACATACAGGAATCGAACCTAGGACTATCAGGCACGGGTATGAACGCTTAACCTGTAGGCCACTGAGCTGGCACCAAATGGTGTATATATCAATCCATGGACTTGAACAACCTATCATTTCTTTCTTTAGTCAGATAACTTTCTCACATCTGACACCGATCAAACTCCAGTTTTTATATATCTCTACACATTTGATGTATGGTAGTGGAATTATATGTGATTAGTTAATGATTATGAACATTCAATATCTACTATGAACTGACTGAGAGTGCGGTGTGGGCTACTTATATTCACATAAGTAGTATATGGTGTATGTCAAGCATAGAATGTATTTGAGCAGAAGATCGATAAGTAAAAAACAGAAACGAAGCAAATTCAATATGGAAATGCATGAATAATGAAACTACAAAAGATGGACTGATGTTTCCAGAAGGAATGATCAAGATTGAGACAATTGACTGATAGTTTGCAAATTAACTGTTCACTGTATCATTGTGAGATTGTACTGAGATAGTCTGTAGTGTTGAGATTAAATACATTCGATTTTCTACACTCATGTTTTTGTTCACTACACAAGTACCTACTTATAATCACATAGTAATAAAGTATTGTCTAGCATATATACTGGTTCCATAGTTTTGTCGTGAATCGCATAGCTTTAATATTATTTACTGTTAGAGTATCTAATCTAGCTACACCATCGAGCTACACAGTATTTGAATATAACTTGTGAAATCTTCTGTTCATCAGATATAACGTAATGAACTTGTTTTCAATAAGAAAACAAAAAAAAAGAAGTAACTCCTAGAACTCCTAGATATTTCTTTCAGAAGAGCTTGAACCAGATTGCCAGGCGGAATATTGGATTTCTTTCAAATTAATTCACTGAGATTCTACAAATATATATTATTCCTATTTTAATGTCTTAATACAACTCGGAGCTCAAATACTGTAAAACTCTGACATTCAGGTACATCAAGCTGATGAGTCCAAAATAGGATGAAAAATGAGTCAAACTAGATTCCATTGCTAGCCACTATTCATCTTTCCTTATAATGCTTATGAATTAAGGCAATATCTAGACAATCCGAATAGGATGCACATATGACCAATAAGAGACTGACCAGTTGCAGTCTTAAACATCAATGGGAAGATTCTAACAAACAGTACTAAGTGAATTTCAACTTCACCACATTGCACAAGCAAGTGGCTATTAGGACTCTGTTGGCCGAATGGATAACCAGATGGCATTTGAAGCGAAAGGTACTGAGTTCGAGTCCCAGAATGAACATCAACTCTAAGACCCAGGTACATCCAGTTGACGAGTCCCAAATAGGACGAAATGAGTATCAAACTGGATTCCATTACTAGCCAATATCTATCTTTGTTTATAATGCTTATGAATTAAGGCAATATCTAGGAAATTCGAACAGGATGCACATATGACCAATAAGAGACTGACCAGTTGAAGTCCTAAACATTAATAGGAAGATTCAAAAAAGCAATACTAAGTAAAGGTTCTTATGTATATATTATTCTATAACTCCTAGAATGGTTCATAAAGATGATCTAACATAGATTGAAATATCAGAATTCAATTTTTCTTACCATATTCCATTTGCTGTACTTTAAGAGAAGAATATACATAGATGAAAAGAATTCTCGTTATTTCAATGGATCTATATGTTGATGAATAATTTATTAAAGAACCAATTAGATTTAAGATACAAGGTCATGTGGATTGGCGCAAAATTTATTTATTCATTTTGGCTAAATAACATTTTAGCAATTTAGATGATGTTAATTCATTATGAAAAGTATAAATCTAATTCCTTTTACTTTAATCATCAACTGTAAATCATAATTTTTGATTCCTCATACAGGTTTATAATCCTCATCTGGTGATGGTTATTAGGTGGGGGTTATCAAAGCCACTTCAGTGTTCCTCGTAGGTCATCTATGAATTATAGTCTAACTTACGTCAGTTATGGCGTAGGCGAGATATCCGTCCACCAACCAAAGGACCGGTTTCATCCTACTTTATGGCTGTGAAACATGGTAAGAGTAGAGGATATTCGTAGGCTGCTAGTATTCGATCATAGGTGTCTTCGAAGCATTGCTCGTATATCCTGAGACCACAGAGTAAGTAATGCAGTTGTTAGGAAACAGGTACTAGATAAGGATGGGAAATCGATGGATGAAGTAGTGAAACTTCATCAGTTGAGATGGCTGGGACACGTGTTACGTATGCCCAACCACCGACTATGATGTAGGAGTAGGTTGGAAGAACGTTAATGGAAACCAGATCAAAACTTGGTACAAATCCATGAAGTCACTAACAAGTGGACTGAGCCATGCTGGTAGGTGTAGACTACCTGGTTGAGATTCGCGAGATGACAACAACCGATTGTTAGAGACCTTGAATGACATGGCTCAAAATCGTTCGCAATGGCTCAGGTACATCCACTCTCTGTGGTCTGCTAAATTCTAATCTTCTGAATTCTTCATGTCCCTATCCTTTTTCTCTTTTCAAATTTATTTCACTGAATTAAACTCTTTGAATAACATCTTCAAACCCTTATCTTTCCGACTACTGTTTATACTCTTACTACTTCTACTATTATGGAATTTGATTCGACAACTGCATCTTTGTGCTAATGTGGTATGGCATTTCGAATTGATTCATGTACGTACAAAGTTCTACGTTGTTACTGACTGACTGACATTGTCTAGACGATATCCGTATATTTTTAATTTCAGAAGGGGTTTTTGTGGATATGGTAGTAATCTTAACAGTGGAGATCATGAGTCAATTGAAGCTTGATCACCATGGAAAACAGGGAAGCAGTGCATGGCGAGTTCATCCTATCGTGGGACTCCTCAACAGTGCACATCCACCATCTTTGACTCGCGAGATTTGAACTCAGAACTTATAAGTCACGCGCTCGAGTGCTTTCCCTCTAGGCAACTGAGCTGGCCGGCATCAAACAGTGTTAATGTCTAACTTTAACCGATCCACGACATTGACAGACACATTAATCATTGTCTTCAGTGAGTTACTATTTCACAACTGAACCCGTTCAACTCCACTAATCACTGCTTCTTACTAGAACGATCTTGAATCATCGATGTAAACTGCTGAGGGGTTCCACAATGGGACGAAATGGCTGTTCAGTTCTTCCAGGTTTTCCATGATGGTCTAGCTCTAATTGATGTGAAAAAAATGTGGTCAATGAGAAAATCACTTGGCAATTGTTAGTCAACTTACCAAATAAAGTCCAAAATTATTCTGTTAAGTGTATAATCAAAATGGAATCATTCAACAATAATAATAATTATTATTATCAAATGAATAAAATGAAATTTTGTTTCTGTAATGAGAAATAAGAACAGAACACATTACGCTGAGAAATAGAAACAGATATGAAAATGATGAATCACAACTGGAACGAACTGGAAAGGATTGCCCAGGATAGGGTTTGATGGAGAATGCTGTTGAGCGGCCTATGCTCTTCCACGAAAGGTAACAGGCGTAAGTAAATAAGTAATGAGAAATGAACTAATTTTTTGGAAATATTCACAAATGTCAAACTAATTCGTCTAGTTAAATTTACTTGGTGTTGTTTAAGGTTATCACGACACAATAGCTAAATGGATAGTGTGATAGCGTTTGAAGTGAATGGTACTGTATTCGAGTTTCAGAGTGAACATCAACTATGGAATAGAGGTACATTCAGATGATGAGCCTCGAATTTGACGAAACGCTAGTCGTGGCTTTAGTATAGGACTCCTACAGATGGAATTCGAACCAAGGATCTTCACTCTCACATGCCAACGCCTACCCTGTAAACTCCTGAGTCATCATCCTAAAGCAGCTTGTGTACAATTGAGTTTGTTCACATTTAATTTGGTTATGCACTTTTGTTAACTTATTTAACGGACAGAATAATTCGTACAATAACAACCTTTCTATACTACTGTACCTTTATTATTATTGCACTTGTATGAATATGTATGCTTGGGCATTGTTTACTGCCTTCGCATATATTCATTCAACTACCCTTATTATTAGTCACCTAATTGATTCCATGATTCATTCATTTCACTATGTATATATATATATATGTACATTTTAATCCTGTTCACTAACTCGTTGACTTGTGCACTCATCCATTGACTCGATCACTCGCTCGCTTATTCGACTTGCACGTTCACTTGATTGCTTTTCGGCACTATTCTTTGATTCTTGTTAAACGTGCCTGTAATTTTGGATATCTGTGCTTAGTTCAATAATAAGCATAACTAGCACTTTAGATTTATACAACTTTAGGGAGTTATCGAGTAACCATTATCAAGAAGAACAATATCGGAAGTTTAAGGATAATATCGAATACCGACTATTACAATCCAAAGATGTAATTGTCTAACTTCAACCAATCCACAATATTGAGTAACCATCTTCCATTGCTTTCGGTAGGTAACTGTCATATAGTTAAATCGGTAAATCTTCAGTTGTCGCAGCTACAATAGAATGGCTGTAACAGCTTGATAAAAAAGGTGATTCAAATGTCAACAGATTTTACACAAATAAGTAAAATGTTAATTGAAATTAAATCAAGTCAAATAACGGTTACGAGGAAACAGTTTTACAAGTGACTCACTCCAATAAAGACCAAAATCTCCTATCATAAATAGAACAGTTTAACATTAAAATTAATGCTCATATTGATATAACAGTAAAGTAACAAGGTACTTGTTATAATTTGTGTCCTGTATGCCTCGTAAATGTATGACGTAGCAATGCCGCCAATTAAAGATCTCCGAATTATCGATCGGACTAATGACGAATAAAATCCGTACGAGTAGTCTAGAGTACTTGTCGGTCCTGCTTCCTGCCTAGCCAAACTCAGCCTAGATCGGAACACCGATCTCAGTCTCTAAAGTATGAATCATTATATTTCAAACATACTGAGTTTCTATACCAAACAAACAAACCACATCGTACCAAAAAATAGAAAATAACATTTGTACAACATTAAGCCAAATGGGGCTGTGAATGTGGGAGGCAGTAACTAATCGACTAGAGGTAACTCAACAATGAAAAATCGTATAGTAATAGTCTATTTATCAAAATGAAGCTTATGATAAGAGGAACATGAATATATATATATATATAGTTCAGTTACTTAACAATAATACAATAAGAAATATACATATCATATTGGTCCATAAATAGTTCTCAAAAGGTACCATTCATAATTCTATCCATCATATAACAGTACTATATATCCCTTCCACCAAGATCAGAATTTTCAATAGAAATATGAAGACACTTCTACTGTATGGGAAGGAAACCTGGAGAACTATGAAAGCCATCATCCAGAAGATACAGATGTTTATTACCAGTTGTCTACGCAAACTATTTCGGATTCATTGACCGGACACTGTCAGCAACAACCTACTGTGGGAAAGAACAAGTCAAATTTCAGTGGAGGAAGAAGCGCTGGAAGTGGATAGGACACATATTGACGAAATCATTCAATTGCGTCATAAGAGAAGCTCTCACATACAATCGTGAAAGTCAAAGGTGAGGAGGAAGACCGCAGAACGCATTACTCTGAGAAACGGAGAAAGAAATGAGAAGAATGAACATAAGTTGGATAGAACTAGAAAGGGAGATCCAGGACAGAGTAGGTTGGAGAATGCTGGTAGGCGGCCTATGCTCCATTGGCAGTAACAGGCGTAAGTAAGTAAGTATATCCATTCCAACCTATGTACAATAATTATAGTTTGTTGTATAATCATGACTTATTCATCACTCTTACTATTCAGCTCAAACATACAATTATCCTAATAATTTACACTATACATTTCTTCTAAGCACAAATCAGGTTAACATATTTACTTACGCGAAAGGTCCCCTTCAAAGAAATGTAGATAGGTAGTAAAAATGAGAAAATATACCTTGATGACGTAATATATATATATATATATATATATATATATATATATATTATTCATATATTGACAAGTTTACATAAAGCATGTAACCACTGATCATTTATATGTTAGTAAGAAGGAAGTCAGTCAGTCAATCAGCTACAACGTAGGACCAGGCACATACATGCATCACAATTGGCCACATTGCAACTTGATCGAAAACATTCGATCTGCAATAAGAAAGACTTCACAGGCATGATAATGATCACTACTCATTGATCAATCAATTGTGATTACATCTCAGTCCTACAGGAGGTCAGTCGTGGCCTGGATAGCTCTATGGTATTGTCTCTGACCGTGAAGCTGGGTGACACGGTGTTGAATCTGTCAGGGAACATCAGTTCCCTCAAGATTACAGGTACACCTTGCTGATGAGTGCCCAGTAGCACGAAACCTGGATCCAAAGTTTCCTGTTGACCACCTCTAACCACCATCATATCACAACATATATGCATCAGTTCAAGTTGCCAAACCTCATTAGCAGAAGAAGTTGAACACGGAATTCATAGTAGTTAATTTAGTGGTGATAATGTATAAAAAACCGGTTGTGTATAAGGAAAACAAGAAGGAATATGATGATTAATTGTATATCAGTACATTTTCTAACTTTCACTTGATATAAATTTCCACCTCAGATAATGGATGAATAATTGTGCAAGATCATAGATTGAACAAAGTTAAACATCAACACCATTAGATTCAAGCTCAGTAATTTTGAGGATAATCACTGTTGTACGACTCCAAAGATCTTAGATTTAAGTGGCAACGTATGGGATTGTGGACGCTGAACTTTCTGAGAAGTGTCATAGTAAGACAAAACAGCTATTGTATCAATTAGATCATAGCATATAGATTCACGATGCTCACTAGGCAAATCGATAAAATCAAATTGATACTTTATCAAAGGTATACAATATACATAATGGTTACAATTTATGGAATAAAATGAAGAAAGAAAGAGGGGTAGATTATCAACAGATTAACTTACTGTTGTTCTAGAATCAAACATAATTGTTGATTTCATATGTTAATGATATAAGATTCAATCTGATTATATAACATATTTGTATATTTTAATAGTTGAGATAATAAATCGATTGAAACTAGAACACCATGGAAAACTTGAAAGCTCTGGACGGCCGTTTTGTTCGTTAGATATCAGCTCAGTGTTCTAGAGGTTCAGGGCTCGTTTGTAAAACTGATAAGTCATAAGTTCGAATCTCACGAGACGAGATCATGGATGCGTACTGAGTAGGAGTCCTACGCTGAGATGAAATGGCCTTCAAACAGTGTTTCCAAGTTTTTCATGATGGTCTAACTTCAATTGATTTGTAATCTGTACTATTATAATGGAACCTACTTTTACATTTAGATGATGTTGATGAACCAGTATTACATGATTGTATTAATAAGACTATAATGATAATGAATGTAATCATGACTTCTAAATGAAATACAAGTATCAACATGTGAATTACTTATAAGCAATGAATTAAATACATAATCATTGAATCAATCAACAGACAATTGGTGTCTTCTAAGATTTTATTAGATGATTATGTTTATCTATCAGTAACATGTACAGTTATAATGTTGTTAAGAGAACATTACCCTTTAACAAAACAATTATAATGACTGCTTGACAACAATAATAATCGATAGAGACCATTACGGAATAGTAAAGTACAATTCTAGTTGAAAAAGAAAGTACGAGATAGTTGTTATGCATCCTAGTATATGTAGTTCTTTAGCCGTGGTCACACATCAGAGATACTAATAAAGGATGACGACATTGGTGAATGATTCCAAGTTGTCGTTGTGAAACAGTTCTTCACTGAAATCATTGTAGTTAGTTGAAGTTGAACTATTGGATACTAATTCACTAGTTTAGGGAATAAGGGCTCTATGTCATAGATGAAAGTTCTGCAATCGAACCTCTTTGAGGTTATGGATGTACACAATTGAGAAGTCCTATTAAAGAACTCGGTCATTCTTCACTGAATCTTAATGATTAACTGACTAATAATCTTCATCAGAAGAAGGTTTTGTGGAGATTTTAGTAATTTTAGTATAGTTGAAATCATGAGTCATTTGAAGCTAGAAGATCATGGAAAATCTGGAACTACTGGATGGCCGTTTCGTCCTATTGTGAGACTCATCAGCAGTGTGTATACACGATATTCAAACCAATGACCTATCATTCTCACGCTCAAGCGCTTAACCTCGAGAAAACTGAGCCGGCCGGCATCCAACAGTGTTAATGTCTAACTTAAAACGATCCACCAAATTGAGCGACACATCCACCAATGTCTTCATTGAGTTACTGTCTCACAACAGACCTGGATGAACTCCACTGGTTACTGCTTCTCACTATAACTCGAGGAAATACCTCATGGAGCCTGTCACTAGTGAGCATATGATCTTGGGTTGGAATCTCGTGAGGCAGGATTGTTGATGCTCACCCCTGATGAGTCCCACACTAGGACGAAACGGCCGTACAGTGCTAACAGATTTTCCATTGTGGTCTAGCTTCTATTGACGTCGATAAATGTTAGTGATTGGCGTCCTATCATCCTCACAGATCGTTTCACTCACACCAGAATTCTTGCTGCCAGTGGCTCGGATCTAACGATTTGCTTATTCTAATAATCTTTGTTTGAAGTTGTATAACGGATTCAGAGTTCTGTTAAATCTTTCTTGAATCAGTGTGATATTCATCGAAGCAAGTCTGTATTATTATGAATAGTAGAACTTTCCGATTGAATATTATTTGGAATACCCGCAAATGCTCGGGTAAGGCTGAGAATGGGAAGAGTCAGATCTCCCTCTCGAAATGCTCTCACATGGCCACGGGTATTCAGCCACTCTCGAAGAAGTCTCACTGAATGGCTTCTCGCAGCATTACCGTTGTTTGCGAAATTGCGAGGACGAAAAGCGAATGTCCGACGTTTTACCATGGTTGGTGGATATAGAGAATGCACCTAGGTGAGTTGTATAGCACGGATTCAACACCGATTCATCCATTGAAGATAAATGTAAGATTTCAATGGCTATTCATCAGACTTCTCGTAATTCTCGTTTTCAGTAATCTTGGGGGTAATCTATAATCGAATCTCTCTATCATTCATCTATACTGATATTTAATTTACGATTGAATATGTGACCAATATAAATGAAACATTTAAAGTAAGCCATACGTGTCTATATGTTGGTAGAGGGAAAGGCTCGTTATAATAAGATAAGATTAACCAAACATGGATTCTGTTTTATTTAAAGAAAAGATTCAGGGAATGAGAAAAAGAACTGGAAATAATTGTGACGAAGTTTGATAGAACGTAAGTGCGATAATAAATAGAACACATCACTTGCATAATTACGTGTGTTATTTCTCGTGGACGAGCATAGGCTACACATCAATATTCGCGATCAATCTGTGTCCTGAACAATCCTGTTCAGTTGTTTCTAATTGCTATTCTTCTTTTTATGTTTGCTTCCGATTCTCTATGTGGCGTGTTCCTTGGTCTTCCTTCTTTAAGTATTCTTTCAGGATTCCAAGTTAGTGCTGGCGCGATGATGCAGTTTGGAGATTTTCACAATGTATGTCCTATCTACATTCAAAGTCTTTTCCTAATTTCCTCCTCAGTTGGAAGCTGATTTGTCCTCTTTATTAGAAGACTGTTGTTCATAGTGTACATCCAGTGGATGTTGAGTATCTTGCGTAGACAACTATTTATAAATACTTTTACCTTTTGATGATGATTGTACTAATTCTCGAAGTTTCAGCTCCTTACAGTAGGACAGTCTGGACGTTCATATTGAAGATTCTGAATTTGATGGTGGCTGATAGTTGTTTTGATTCGCACATGTTATCCAACTATGAAAATGCCATCCTTGCTTTGCCAATCCTAACGTTTACGACATCATCGAATCCTCCTTCTTCATCGATGAGGCTTCCCAGACACGTGAATGTTTTCTCTTCTTCCAGAGTATTATTGGATTGGTGTTCTCCGTGTTGTATTTGAGGATCTTGCTTTTTCCTTTTTTCATGTTGTAGCCTATTGATGCAGAGGCTTCTCCTACATTTGTTTTCTCCGTCTGTATTTGTTTGTTTGTGTGAGATAGGAGGGCTAGGTTATCTGCGAAGTCCAAATCGTCTAATTGATTCTGAGCTGTCCATTAAATTCCGTGCTTTCCTTCAGATGTTGAGGTTTTCATAATCCAGTCAATCAACAGAAGAAAGAGGAAAAGGGGTAGTTTGCTGCGTTGTCTGATTCCAGGCCTCACTTAGAATGAGTTATCAGCTATTCTTCACGCAGGACTTCGCATTATAGTCCATCATGTGGATTCCGTATGATGTTGACGATCTTCTTAAGCAAACAATAGTGTCGAAGAAGGTCCCATGAGGTTCAGCTATCTACGCTGCTACAGTCTTTCTCATAGTCACGTAAGTCTGGTCTGTGCACGACCAATCCTTACGGAATCCGGCCTGTTGATCTCAATGTTGAGCGTCTACTGAATCGTTCATCCTGTTCACTAACACCGTTGACAACTTTTCATCGTACTGACAATGTTGTGATGCCTCTGAGTTTCTCAAACTTTCTGAGGTGATCAATTTTCTTCAATGGTGATAAGCTGGATGAAATATCTTTATTTTCAGTCGATCAGTCCTTATTCGTCTCTCAAATTTTCTTAAACAAAACGTTCCAAATTTTTGCAGTTACTTCTATGTCTTACTTTAATGCTTCAGCTGGTATACTATCAAGTCTTGTTGCCATCTCACTCTTGATTTGTCTGATGACTATGTTGATTTCTTCAATCTTTGATGAAGTGACAGTTATAGAAAGCTTGAAATGACCAGTTATAAATAACAAAACACTGAAATGTTTACTTCACCTTTTATTATATAATTGAATACACCCATCTAATTGATAGAATAATTATACCAGTGTATTAAGATGTCCGATATAAACTGTTGTCTATTGTTTATCAATTGTGTTAAACCAATAAAATACAAGATGAGTTTATCAAAACTCTTATTAAGTATCTATTTTGAATGAATTGAATAGATCCTTGAATATTCCTTGAAATGAACATTATCTTTGTCATAGGTGTACTTCTTGTATTTCAAACCTTTCAATCTGCAGAGACTAACAAAAGCAGTAAGTTTGGTGTGAAGTTTAAACTTCGTTTTTTCTTTTTTGTTTATTTTAGTATTTTCATAGTTGAAATCATGATTCAATTGAAGCTAGACGACCAAGGAAAACGAGGAAGCACTTGGCGGCCGTTTTGTCCCATTGTAGGAGTCCTCAGTGGCAGTGTGCATCCACGACCTCGCCTCACGAGATTCGAACCCAGGACCTACCAGTCTCGCTCCAGAGCACTTAACCGATAGACCACTGAACCGGCATCCAATGGTGTTCATGTGTAACTTCAACCGATCCACGAAGTTTAGCAACCGTTCACCAATTGTCTTCAGTGAGTTCCTATCTCACAACAGACGTGGTTGAATTCCACTGGCCACCGCTTCTCACTAAAACTTCAGGTAGTACATGTTGAAGTCAGTCACTAGTGAGCATATGATTTGAGTCATTTGTATTTTTTTTCATTTGAGTTCGAGTACTGATTGCAAGATCGTAGAATTACCCTGTTGAGGAATCCTAATATTGGGACAAAACGGCCATCTAGTACTTTCAAGTTTTTTAAATGTTAGTCTTACTGAGATCAACTCATGTATTCAACTGTTAAATTCTTTTTTGATTTATTGATGAAATGATTGTTTTGTATTCTTTGAATACATACAATACTACTTATAAACGGTTATCATTCCTACTGAAAGCAGATGGTAGTAATAATGCGTAAGTCCAGTCATTGATATTGTGATTATTTCTCAAAATGAAGAGCATAACATGACTTTTATGAAGATACGGAAAGAAGAAACTTCATAAAGAACCAGATCTTTCAAAATATTTACCACTACCTTTCATAAATGTACATATAAATTTTACCTTTGAAGTGTCTTTAAACACTATGTATACAAAGATTAGTTTGACTATATGATTCGGAATACTCTATCACTACACACAATTTCAAAGATTGTCTATAGGGGGCTAGGATCTGACTCCGATTGAGATCGTATGAATGTTTATTGTCAAAATATATACCCTGTCTATCCTCGTATGTAATACTACATGACTTAATCGGCGTTGAGGAATAACGGAGTTAAATAAGTCAAATTCGAGAATGGATTATACATTCATTGATCTGGACAGAAATTAGAGGGATGAAGTGAATAAAAGAAAGCAAAGTGAAAATAACGCACATTGGAGTTGGTGGATAAGCCAAGTCACAGTCAGAGTTGATAAGTGAATAATGAACAAGATCAAAACTTGACTCATGGTGGATTGGTAAATTGGCTTATCCTGAAGCTAGAATAAGGTTATATGGGCTAAACATAATAATCGACATACTACAAGTCCTAAATATATTCATCTAGTGATGTTTCCGTTCTCTCCTTATCGATCTTACACTAAAATACATTCAATGCCCGACTACTACCATATACTACTTATGTGGATATAAGTAACCCACACTACAGTAATACAGGGATGATAAAGAAGAATTTACTTAAGTCTTTTTTAATGTTCAACATTTATGTTTTTCAACTTTTAAAATGGACCATATGGATTCATCTGTTTGTTAGATCACAGATACTGTTTCTTCTCCGAATTTAAAACACCATTTATAACTTTCAGGACACAATCACCATGGGAGTAAGTCTATAATTCGAATGAATTACAACGAAAATAATTAAAAAAAAAGAAGAGGGTAAATTAATTACAGTTAGTTGTAATCTTATTGTGGGACTCCACAGAAGTGCTCAGTCACGATCCCGACTCATTAGATTTCCAGGTTTAAGAGGTTAAGTGCCCGTGCGCGAGACTTTTAGGTCCTGGGTTCGAATCTCGCCAGTCAGGATCGTGGATGCTCACTGCTGAGGGGTCCCACAATGAGATGTAACGGTCGTTCAGTACTTGCAGGTATTTCAGCTTCTAGCTTCAATTAACTCATGATTTAAACTATTAAAGTATAATATCTATTTTTTAAATCAGTTAGTTCGATATCTTGTTTATATGTTGTACTCAAATAAACCAGTATTGATCATATTCTCTACCTCATAGTGTATAATGAGCAACGCGAACATAACACAACTTCAACGGTGAGACCATAATTTATGGACGAAACAATCTGATTAGGAATATCAGTTCTTGAACTGTGGCCTCGAAATTTATTCATGCTTGAATACCTTTTTTCTGATTAGCGTTTTCTTAGCGAGTTGGTTTTCTACTTGATGGGATCGCTAACCACATTCTCAACCCTCCTCCTTTATCCCGTCTTGGAACAGGCAGAAGCCTTCTGAGGAGCTACAGGTGGAGTTCGAAATTTACTCATACACTTGACTAAATAGTACTTTATTTTCATAGCTGATGTCAGTTTATGATAAATACCTTAAATGTAATTCCTAACCCTAACCATCAATTGTAAATCATATCCCTTGTTTCTAGCCCCTACTTAGTCGTAGTCAATAGGTGGACATTTTGATGGCCAATTTAATGTCACTCAAAGGTTTTTCATCGATTACAGTCTCATCACTTTGACTTTTGTTTTATTGTTACAATCTAGCCAATTTCAGTATGTAACTTTACAAGTTCATTGATAGTTCAATGAGAGTTTATGTTGTTATACTTATTATAATAGTTTCTAAGCCAATTTGTGATCAACTTCATTTTGATTAGTCAAGTGAATACAAGTTTTAACAGTTGAATTTACCAGTCAATTTAAAATAGACCATCATTAAAATCCTGAAAGTATTGGATGGCCGGCTTTCCATAACACTGAACTCCTCATCAGTGAGACAATTATCCACTTCAAATAATGAATAAATGGTTGCACAAACCATGGATCGATTTAAATTAGACGCTAACACCGTACAATCCCAGCTCAGCGATCTATAGGTTAAGAGTTCGCGTACGATCTCAAAGGTTGTGGGTTGGAGTCCTCAATGCAGATTTATGTATAGTTCCTTCTGAGGCGGTCTAGCTTAGATTGACACATGAATTCAATTAATTTAATCTCAAGAAATCCCCTATTTGAATAGGAATCTTTCAGAACAGTTTTTGAAACAAAATAAAGCTATCACTTTCCCTAGTAGTTATGACTGATTAGATAAGCTCCACCACTAGTACACTAAAGAAGATCACTAAAATCAGTTTGCTAGAAGTAAGTCTTCAATAAATGTGTACCTTGGATAGTACGAGCTTCAATAAACAATCATACATATTTCTTGATCATCAAATTACAAGTAATGGATAACATAACAGAATGATTAAGGTAATGTGTTTACTTTACTTTATCATTAGTACCTGGTTAAATCTTATATGGTGAGTTGAATAATCAATATTATTTTTCATTCCTTAACTCATATGATCTTTGAAACATTATGGTAATATTCATATGCTCAATAGTGACTAAGTTCAAGAGATATTTCCTGGAGTTCTAGTGGGAAGCAGTGACCAGTGGAGTTCAACCACATCTGTTGTGCGATATCAACTCACTGAAGACAATGGTGGACGGTTGCTCAACTTCGTGGACTAGTTGAATTTAGACATTAACACCAGTTAGATACCATCCGGCTCAGTGGTCTAGAGGTCAAAGGATTGCACGCGAGACTGATAGTTCCTGGGTCGGAATCTCGTGAGTGCGGAATCGTGGATATGCACTACTGAGGAGTCCCATAATAGGATGAAACAGTCGTCCAGTGCTTCCATGTTTTCCATGGTGTTCTAACTCTAATTGACTCATAATTTCAACTATAAAATTACTGAAATCTCAACCAAAACCCCTTTTCATAAATATCAAATACAAAAATTCATTGTGTACATATATATATTATATTGTGGTGTATGCTACTGATGTCAACTGATATAAGTAGTATGTTCCATCAAACGAAAATAAATTGCCTTGTGGTTAAGAAGATCAAAGAAAAGAGAACATGAACTAAGAATGATAAGTGTGGAAATGAAGGAGTAACAAAGTCTGGGACAATTGTTGGCTATTTGACAAATGAAGTACTTACTGAATTGTTCTCGGATTGTACTAAGATGTTCTATAGTATTGTAATAGATTGCTTCCACATGTGTTCTCGTTCACTACAATATGACTTGTGCTTTACATACGGAACCTTACTACGTACAACATGATACTGTTCCTTATAAGACTCAATTACCATTTCATTTATTGAACCTATGGATGGTAATATTCAGATACACAATGACGAATATACCCATGTAGTGTTTGTTATAACTTTTGCCCTTGTCAATTATTATGTGACAACATTGCCCATCAGAATACCAACTTATATGACCTATTTCTTGTGCTAAAGCGATGACACATCAAATAGAACTAGAAGCCTTGCTTCGACTCTGTAACCTTACTGTTCCTTCTCTCCTAGCCCTACCTTTTGAGTCCAGAAAGAAATCTCAACCTTCACTGTATGGATCATATAATTCAGGCATAGTTAATTTACATACAAACAGACCAGACTGTATCACACCTTTGAAGTTCAATCCGTATAAAGCAATTGACATTTATCCATCTCAGGAAATGGATGAATGCTTATACCATGTTATGAATCCATTGAAGTTAGACAAAAACATCATTGGATACCAGCTCAGAAATCTATAACTTAAGCGTTCGCGTTCGAGACTGAAGGTCTTTAGTCCGAATCTGGCATGTTGGATCGTGAATGTGCACTTCTGGGAAGTCTCATACTAAGACGAAACGACCATTCAGTGCTTTCGGGTTCTCAATGATGGTCAATAAGTTAAATGGATGCTTAGGGATACACATTTTCTCATAGAATTATCTGAAACAATTCAATTCTCATATCTATACTGACTATTTCTAATAAAATGTCAACAAAAATAATCTGAATGTGTACTAAACAAATTTATTGTTTTCATAGCACTATTTTCTCATTATGGTACGTTTACATTACCGAAATGTATACTTATACTATACTTATTCTAATGAAGTTTTGTTCTCTGAGCTGGATGACTTGGTCGTGAAGCTTTAATCGTCATTCTTCTGAACAATATCATCCAGCACAAACTTCGGATAGAAGTGAAGTGTTCAAATTTCTCTACATGTGGTCTTTTACACCTCAGTGTTGATTGGGTCTTATTGACTTTAAATTGGATTGATTTCAATGTGATTGTTTATTACTGATGGACCTTAATGCCAAGCTTTTAAAAAAATTCTCTGATGTTTTTTGAATTGCTTCCAATCCAAAATCGCCACATTTTTCCAGTCGAATGTGTTGAACTATCTATTACCTAAATTGACTTCAAGAGATATTTCCTGGAGTTCTAGTGGGAAGCAGTGACCAGTGGAGTTCAACCACGTCTGTTGGGAGATATCAATTCATTGAATACATTGGTGAATAGTTGCTCAGTTTCATGAATTGGTTGAAGTTAGACATGGAAACCGTTGGATGCCGGCCAGCTTAGTGGTCTAGTGGTTAATCGCTCGCTCGAGAGACTTCTAGTTCCTACGCTGAGACGAAACGGCCGTCCAGTGCTTGCAGATTTTCCATGGTGGTCTAGCTTCAATTGACTCATGATTTCAACTATGTCTTGATATTCATGTTAGATTCATTTGACTAAGGAGAACATTGATTTCTCTTATTTTTTTTCTTTTCCAATTTGTATTTTAGGGAAACCATTAAAGGGATTTTATCATCATGGTGGTGAAATGTACAACTTTCATTATCTTTAATTTCTATGGATCTGTTGAATTCGTTCAACAGTCTTAACTTATTGATATTCTGTTGTAGTTATTCACTATTATGTGAATATAGATTTCATATAAATGATTCAATCTGTTGTGTTCTCATCGCAACCCTTCAAAGTAGTATACTACAATTTGATATAAGATTTGTAAGTTTTGTATTGATATGACTCCTTACTGATGATGTGATAAGTCTTCTAACTGCATGCTAGATTCAGTTCCAAAAATCTTCTAGTAACCCTCAGACGAAATCTACTCAGCGATTTGAACACGAGAAAAAGGCACGATTCATTGATATACAGATAATCTTGGACTTTAACAGCATTTTAGATGACCTTGGACTTCTGTAGATTTCTGGAACGCGTGTAGATATAGTGGCAGTATAGATAATCATCCAATCAGAAATGAGATATGTAAGGTTTCACTTTCTCGATGTTTCTGGCAAATTTTCTACTGTAGTGAACAAGAAGACAAGTGGGGACAAACAAATGTATTTGACACGAAAATTACATCGGAATTTAGGATGAGTTTTCAGGCCTGTTTGAAACTTATCAAGTGAATGTACTTGTATAATAATTCTCATATACACTCTGAGACTCGAATCTAAATAGATAACGAGATGGTGTTTGAAGCGAAAGATGCTAGGTTAGAGTCTTGAAGTAAATATCAACTATGGAATACAGGTACATCAATCTCGCAAGACCCAAATAATACGAGACTCACCTACTTGATTCCACTTCTTACCACGATGCTTTGGACTTATAGCTATAGATGTAGTGAATAAGAACACGGGAGGGATAATCCAATGTATTTGAGTACAAATTACAAACTATCTCACTACAGTTCGATAACCATACAATAAACAGTTAATTAGCAAACTATCAATCGATTGCCTTATTCCTGACCATTCCTTCTGCAAATATCAGTCCATCGTCTCTGATTATTATTGTTCATAATTGAAAGCATGAGTCAATTGAAGATAGACCATCATGGAAAACCTGGAAACACTGGACGGTCGTTTCGTCCTATTATGGGACTCCTCAGCGGTGCGCATCCACGAACCCGCGCTCGCGAGATTCGAACCCAGTTGAAGTTAGACATTAACACCTTTGGATGCCAGCTCAGTGGTCTATCGGTTAAAGGCTCTGGCTCGAGACTGGTAGGTCCTGGGAGGACGGATCTCGCGAGAGCGGGTTCGTGGATGTGCACTGATGAGGAGTCCCATAATAAAACGAAACGGCCGTCCAGTGTTTCCAGGTTTTCTATGGTGGTCTTGCTTCAATTGACTCATGCTTTCAACTATGAAACATACTAAAATCTCCACAAAACCCCTTGTGATAATTAATATCATTGTTCATGCATTTTCACACCGATTGCGTCTTGTTCCCGTTCCTTCCTTATCAATCTTCTACTGAAATACATTCAATGCCTGACCATTGTTATATAATACTTGTGTATATATAATTAGTTCACACCACACTATTGATGTATCCCTGAGTTTTCGAAGACTTTTATGAGGAATTTTCTAGATCTCTCCAACATTTTGTTTTGTAAATCACATGGTCATATATCTGACTCCAATCAGATGGTTTGCTGATTGTTATCGAAATATAAATACCGCTAACTCTAGCGCATTCTTTATCAACATAATTCGAGTAAGAGAATGACGGAATAAGTAACATACGAGGACGAATTCGGAATACGTATATTTCATATACTTATTGATCCAGACAGGCAATCGGAGAAATGAGATGACGCTCAGCGGAGATGACTTGTGAGCCAACTTGATTGAATCTAGTATCACTCAGTATTTATATTTGGGACAAAAATAAGTTAACGACACGTAATGAATCGGGCAAGCAATTAATACACATACGATCATATTAAACACGGACAGGGTTAATAAGCGAATGTGGCTTAAATAGAATGCATAAATTGGTCTGTTCAGAAGCTAGAATAGCCCATGTGGGTTTGACATAGTACTAGTCACTAACAAGTGGTGGATTTATACTTATCTGAACACACTCGTTTGCTCTCACATATTAGCCTTTCGGTTAAAATTCGTTTGATAACGCGATGGCATTTGAAGTGAAAGGTACTGGACTCGAATACAGAGTGAACATCAATTCTGAGATGCAGGTACATGTAGCTGACGAGTACCAGATAGGACGAAACGCGCTTCCTAGATTTCGCTACTAGCCACTATTTATTTTGAAATTTTATACGCAAACAATCAAAGGAATTCGGACACTTCAGTTTTTACTTTGTTTGCTTTGTTTTAACATTTTTCCTCACTTTACGTTATAAAAAGGAGGAAACTAACGTGTAATGTGCTTTGATATGCGTATACATACGATGTTGATGATGATGAACGTCAACTCTGAGACGCGGTACATTCAGCTGACGAGCTCCAAAATAAGATGAAACGCACCTCCTGGATTTAACTACTAGCGACCATTTATCTCTGCTAATAATTGTTATAGGGAACATAAATGGAATATTTTTATGTGTTCACAAACATACTTCATAAAGAACAGAACTTGTTATGGAATTTGATGGCACCTAATCTTTCACAAAACTATTCATCAGTCATATGGTGTAGGCTATTCATATCAATAGGTATAAGTAGTATGCAACACCGATCAGAAGTGGAATCTCTGACAACAGAAGGTTGAGAAGATCGAAGTGTAGAAAATAGGAAACAATTGAGAACTTCAAGAATCATGAAGGATGTATAGAACTCTGTATTCTTACACTAAATAGTAAGTCGCCACATTGCAACTTGGTCGATAAAATTCTATCTGCACTACGAAAGGCTCGACAAATATGACATTGATCACCACCCAGTGATCAATCTGTTGTCATTATATCTCAGTCCTACAATAGGTCGATCACGGCCCGGATAGCTCAGTGGTAATGTATCTGACTGTGAAGCTGATTGACACGGGATCGAATCAATCAAGGAGCACCAGCTCCCTCAATTATACAGGTACACCTTGCTGACGAGTACCAAGTAGCACGAAAACCGGGTCCAGGGTTTCCTGTTAGCCACCTCCAACCACCATCTTATCTCAACATAGTGCACGCAGTGTCGAGTCACCTAGACTAATCGCCACATTGAATTCGATCTGCACTAAGAAGAACGTGACACCATGACATTGATCATCACCCAAGTGATCATTCAATTGTGAGTAAGTCGCTTATCTCCATTTGAGTTATCGTTCACTTCATAAAACCCTCATATCTTGTTTATATGCGGTATTTAGTTTTGTCAAGAAAAAATGTGTCAACATCAAAAAAAGGATCTTGTTTTTTCAGGAAACTTTGCATTTGCAACGGAAGCAGCACAATGTAGCTAAGTGATGAATATATTAAGAAGATCTAAAATTTATTGATTAATTTCATAATTTGGTTCGAATATTTGAGTCTCACTTCGAACTTTGAACTGCAGTAGTAGTGTTATAAAATACAATACGCCACTCATTTATCGTATTCCTAAAAAGGGGAAATGAATAAGTACACATCAATGTAAAGAAGAACATATTAACATATTCAAATCAATACTCAAACTTATTTGATTCATTTGTTCTGATTGAAAAATAAAAATGTATGAAAAGTGAATTAATTAGTTGCTAGGCTATAAAGTACCATGTCTTTATAGTTGAAATCATGAATCCATTGAAGCTAGACTACCATGGAAAACCTGGAAGAACTGGATGACCGTTTCATCCTATTGTGGGATCCCTCGGCAGTGCGCATTCACGATCCTGATCAGTGGTTCAGTGGTTAAGCGCTCGCATGCGAGTCTGATAGAATCTGGATTTAATCTCTCGAGAAGGATCGTGGATGCGCACTGCTGAGGAGTCCCATAATAAGACGAAACGGCCGTCCAGTGCTTTCAGATTTTACATGGTGGTATAGCATCAATCAATTTATGATTTCAACTATAAAATTACAGAAATCTCCAGGAACCCCCTATTGATACGATGTCTTTGATTGATACCTATTGCTATCGAAACTATCTGATGCCTCCTTCTTATGGAAAGCATATTTTATATCCATTCAGAATTCAATCAACTCATCCGCCGTTCGGTAAATTATTTGATGATTGAAGTATTGAAAGGGCTTCATTTTTGCGTATTTGCGATTTTTCTTAATTTTTTACTCTAGATAACCATTAAATTTGTTTCGACTAGAATCTCACTGCTACAATTACTTGCTTACTTACTCACTTACACCTGTTACTTCATGCTACCCACCAACAGTCTCTATCTAACTCTGTTCTAGACAATCCTTTTCAGTTGTTAAGAATAAGATTTCATTCTACTTCCGATTCCCGATGCAGTGTGTTCCTTGATATTTCTCTTTACCATTACCCTTCAGAATACCAGGTAAGCGCTTGCCTCAGGATGCGATTCGGTGATTTCCCACTGTAGTTCTCCTAGAGTTACTTCTAGTCACTAGGCATAGTACAGGAGGAGGGTTAAATAAAAGGTCAACATCTCCACCCCGTAGAAAACAATCTTGGTAGGAAAACGACAAGAAAATTTAAACAACCCATCTGCAAGAGGGGTTGATGTATACTTAGTTGATCATTGAAAATATAATAAAAAATATTAGGACTTGTAAAAACAAAAAAAACAAATTTCATTTTCTTACCAGATTCCATTCACAAAGCTTCAAAGTATGAATCGTTTAAATGAACAACCGATTGAATATCAAAGAGATACAAATTATCTTAAACTATGGAATTTCGTTTGAGATATTCAACAGACCATCCCGAAGTAATACTGTGATGTGGAATACTGATATCGATTAATATAAGCAGTATGTATCATTAGTCGTTAGTGGAATGTCTGTTAGTAGAAGGTTGAGAAGGTCGTAGAAGATAGAACGTGAACAGATAACGATGGTTGTCGAAATGAAAGATCAGTGAAGTCTGAGACTACTACTTGACATTTTACAAATAAAGTATTTACTGTATGGTTCTGTAATTTCATACCCAAATACATTCCTTTGTCCTCACTTGTATTCTCGTTCACTACAATAGCATAAGCTTTTCAGTTGATTGACATTGTTCATATATAACAACACCGGAAATGTTCAGCATTACAGTAAATAGTAGTTAAAGTAATGGCTGTTTAAGAAACCTCCGTATTTTGAATTTACTTAGTATTGTTTGATTGAATCTTCCCATCGATGTAATAGGACTGCAACTGATCAGTCTTTAATTGACATATGTGCATACTGTGCGTATTGCCTCGATATAGCCTAAATTCACAAGCATTATAAGCAAAGATGAAGAGTTGTTTTGTCCTATTTGAGACTCGTCAGCTGGATGTACATGGATCTCAGAGTTATTGTTCACTCTGGGACTCGAACCCAGTACCTTTCCCTTCAAACGCCATCCCGTTATCTACTCAGTCACTGAGTCCTGGTATTTTTTGTTAGAAAAAAAGCATGAATGAATTATATTTCGTTTATCACCTAATATGAATCGTTTCTGAATGAAAATGAGTAAGTAAACTACATTTTGGCGTTCCTAGCGTTCGATGGAAAGTGCTGGTGGTCGGTTTATACTTCTCCAAGAGGAGTAACCGGAGTAAATAAGTAAACTACACTTTACTAAAGCAGTCACTGAACTCATAAGTTACATCAAAAGTGTTGACACCGTGAATTCAACTTACCAAATCAAGCTAATCAGCGATCTAGTTTGAAAATAAATTAATTAGACGACATAAAATTTTATTCATTAAATTTAAATTCTGATTGATTGGTTAAAGCTCGAGTGCGAGATTGATAGGTCCTGGGTTCGAATCTCGCGAGGTTAGATCATGGATGCGTACTACCACTGAGGAGTTCCTTAATAGAACGAAACGGCCGTCCAGTGCTTCCAGGTTTTCCTTGGTGGTCCACCTTCAATTGACTCATAATCTCAATTATATAGAGTTACTAAATTCTTCACAAAACCCCCTTCTGATAAAGCTTATTAATAAAGACTGTTGATTTAAACCCAGCACAATGTGTACTTAGAAGTATAGTGATAATCAATACAAAAGACCGTTATGTTGCACAAACTTATGAAAGTTTGTACATGATGAAAAAGTTAATCTGAACATCAGTCCATTCTACCACAGTCATTCGAGTATTCACAAGATTACTTAAAATGAGTAAGGAAAGCTTTTCGTTTGGCTTGAAACTGCTGAACCATATACAATGACAAAATGAAATTTCTACCCTTAAGTAGAAATGAACAGAAAATTCTAACATTTTCATAGTTTAATTCACGAATAAATCTAAGCTGGACAACCAGTGAAAAGCTGGAAGCAATGGATAGCCATTTCGTCCTAGCATGGAACTCCTCAGTAATGCTGATCCACGATCTCACACTTGAGACTCCAACCCAGAATTTTTGGTTGCATACGAGATAGTGTATGTTCACCACTCAGCAGTCCCACACTAGGACGAAATGGCCATCCATTGCTTCAAGCTTTTCATTGGTAGTTTAGCTTAGATCAACTAGTGATTCAAACTGTGGATATACTTCAATCTCCACAAATCGTAGTACTGATCATTCCAAAATAATCAAATGTCAGGTATTTTTAATTACGGTATTCTCATCACCATGCAAATATTCATCAATACGTTGAGTTTTATCTATTTAGCTTACAATATAATTAGTTCAATAGAACAAGGGGATGATGTCTGTCAATATCACTCTGAAGGAAACTTATCATTGGAGTGCATAACACTCAATTTTCAACGAAATCATAAAAAAATTAAAATTATTCATCAACATTCTGACTAAACCCTGAGAAGTTTGAATTCATTCGGTGTTGTTTTGCTTGTATCTTCCCATTGATGCTTAGGACTTCAATTGATCAGCCTCTTATTGACATATATGCATTCTATACAGATTGCCTCGATATTGTCTTAATTCATAAGCATTCTAAGCGAAAATAGACAGTGGCTAGCAGTTGAATCCCGAACACGCGTTTCGTCCTATTTGGTGCTCGTCAGTTAGATGAACCTTCATTCCTTCTGAACTCGAACCCAGTACATTTCGCTTCAAACTCCATTGCGTTATTTATTTAGCTATAGATTTGCATTGATGTCAAGAAAAAAAAACTTGGAAACTATTGATTTGACTAGTGTTTATCAATAACAAACATAAACATAAACAACGGTAACTTACTCAACTAATGACCAAAATTTCCTTGAAAATAAGGAATAGAGAAATGATTACAAAGTTATTGATAGCCGATTCAAATGGATCCCATAATACATAAAAGTATACATTATGAACTCAATAAATCAGTATGTAAATATGAAGAATAACTCATTGGGATTGAATTCATTAAAATGAATGCTGGGTTCGAGTCCCAGAGAAGACATCAACTTTGAGATCCAGGTGCATCCAACTGATGAGTCCGAAATAGGACGAAACGCGCGTCCTCGATCCCACTACCAGACACTATCCATCTTTGCTTATAATGCTTGTGAATTAAGACTATATCGAAGTAATACGCGCAGTATGCACATATACAAATAAGATACTGATTAATTGCAGTGCTCAACTTCAATGAGAAGATTCAAACAAACAATATTAAGTGACTTTAATTTTATCAATAGTTTGTAATTTTCATTTACTCCAATTATATATTGTGGCATTTGCTACTGATGTTGGCAAATATTAGTAGTATATATCATCAGTCAAATGTGAAATGCCTGGTGATAGAAGGTTAAAAATATTGAAGAAAAGAGGATGAGAACAAAGAAATATGGGTATGGAAACGGCAGAACAATGAAGTCTGAGATGATTACTTGCTAATTCCTAAAGGAACAGTCATCTAGGATTTCCCTCATTTTTTTCTCGTTCACTACACTATTACATCAAAAAGATTTATTTACTTACCCAATGAAAGTCCTTTAGAAAAGTTGAATAATAGTCTATTCCAGAGACCATACTCATATCATATCAAATATAAAATATAGTCATTAATTGTATATGTATACAGTCTTTGTTCGTCCTTAACTCGAGTACTGCATTCAGGAGGCTAACCCCCGAATGAAAAGAGACAATGAGCTGTTAGGAAAGGTTCAAAGAACTGCAATTAATTGAATTCCTGGATAAGTATAGCTTTCATATGATGCTCGACTGGCTAGATTAAAGCTATTTCCATTGTCATATCGAAGAATTAGAGGTGAATTGATTACGGTTTTCGTATTACTTGATGATAAATTTACCTCTGATATGACCTCATTTTTTTTGTCTTCCAAAACAAGTGATTTTCGATGACACTTTCAAAGAGTTTACAAACACAGAACAAATTACTTGTAAGCTGATTATCAATCTTCCCATCGAATCATCAACGAATGGAATTCATTATCTCAACACTCATTCAAGACAATGATGAACGGTGGCGCAATTTCTTCGATTGATTAAAGTTACACATCAACATCATTAGATACCGGCCAGCTTAGTAATCTAGAGGTTAAGCGTTCGTTCGTGAAACCGAAGGTCCTGAATTTGAATCCTACGAACGTGAGGGGAGTTCCACGCTAATACAACACAACTGTCCAAAGTTGTCAGATTTCCCATGATGGCCTAAGTTTATTCAACTCATTAATTTAACTGTCAAGTAAATAGATTTATGATTCATTAACTAGGTCATTCAAATACATTATAAGTAATAATTCACAACCTCTCAATGAAGATTAGTATGTTATTAATATTTTGGTGCAAAAACAGAATATCAAATGTTTAACTTACTGCTCCTCTGTAAACAGTGATATAGTTGAATTCACTTAGTGTTGTTTGTTTGAATCTTCCCATTTATATTTAGGACTGCAATGGATCAGTCTCTTATTGCCATATGTGTATAATGTGCCATATGTATAGTGCCCTGGTACGGCGGAGAATGAGGAGAGTCTGCTTTCCCTCTCGAAATGCTCTCATATGGTCACGCGAATATATAGCCTCTGCCAGGGAAGTCCTACTCACTGCCTTCTAATGACGGGGGTGTTGTCCACAAAAGTGAGAGGACGAAAAGCGAATGTCCGGCGCTTTAACCGGGTTGGTGGACACGGCGAGTCCACCTAGGGGAGTTGGCAAACCCTGATTCGAAACCAATAGTGCACATGGGCTCCAGTATCCTGAAGGAACGAATGGCGTATGAACCAACTGTTGGTCACTGAATACCATGGGACAGCATCTCCTTACGATGCTCCACTGCCTTGTGGACTAGACCTTTAGGTCAGAGGCTCCGGGTGTGGCCCCTTAAGAAAACCACCTGCTTCAGTCTGGGCACCTGGGCAGTATCACAGCCCTCACACAAATCGAATGAGATTTGTGAGAAGCATACTTATCTGGTGTTTCCTTGTACCAATATTTATGTGTTTAAATAAATAAATAATAAATATCCACTCAGCTAGTGACTCCTGATAACCACTTGTTTGTGCAACAGGGTGAAGTTTAAGTTCATCTGACGAGTCGCAAATAAGACGAAACGTGCATCCTGGATTGCACTGCTAGCCATTGTTCATGAAAAACCTGAGGAGTCCCATAATAGGACGAAACAGCCGTCCAGTACTTTCAGGTTTTCCATGGTGATCAAACTTCATTTGCCTCATGATCTGAACGTTTGAGATAACAAATTAGTCAAATGTCAATTATATTGCTTATAAAACAGAAACATTTGAATACTTTCAACCATTGTACATACTTTTACATTCTTGTGACGATCCAGATGAACCACAATAACATGACTGCAGTAGAAAAACTGAAATGATAATGAATGTAATCATGAAATATACGAAAGATACTACTGAAAAGAAATAAAGAATTATGTAATCAACTTTGATATTTATGGTTTGTTTATATAATTCAATCGATCGAAATGATGTTGTTGCTAGGTGTGTATGAAATACTCAATCAGTTTATTGGTTTAACAATATAGGCGTCAAAATCATCTCCTTCCATAGTAGACTACTGTAGAGGTTGAGAGTATGAAAAACAATGTCACACCCTATCCTAAGAAAGTGATCCCCCTTTCAGAAATTTATACAAAGGAATAATAACAATAGTTGCGATAGATGCATAGTATCTGCTATGTTTAATTAATTCTGATGATTCAACCATCATTGGAAAGTAAATTGCTGTTTGATGTTAGAATGGGACACCTTAAACAATCAAATACACGATCTCGAACTCATGACCTTCGGTCTTGTGCGCGAATGCTTAATCTCTAGACCAGTGAATCATAATCCATCGGTGCTAATGTGGTATGGATTAATTATATCCACATAAGTAGTATATAACGATGGTCAGGCATTGAATCTATTTCAGTAGAAGATCGATAACAAGAAAAAAGTAACGAAACGAAATTGGTATGAAAATGCATGAACAACAATCATCAGAGACGATGGACTGATATTTGCAGAAGAAGCAGTCAAGATTAAAACTCTTGATTAATAGTTTGCAAATTAATCACCTACTATATGGTTCTCATATTTTACTGAGATAATCTGTAATTCTGTGCCTGAATACATTCGATTGCCCCAACAAGTGATCTTGGTCACTATAATAATATTTGACTTCAATCGACACATGATCCTGGTTTATCCTTGGTTTGATCCTTGGTTTATTTGCCAATCAGAACAGGACTTGTACAATTTTGTAGATGGTCAACAAGAAAATCTGGATCCGGGTTTCGGGCTACTAGTCAGCAAGGTGTACCTATAATATTGAGGTAACTGATACACCCTGACGGATCCAATCCCGAATCACCCAGCTTTACTGAGAAGGACTTGACACACATGACATTGTTCACCACCAGGTGATCAATCAATTGTGATTCTTTATTTTATTTACACATTGGCACAAGAAGGCACAAATAGGTATACACCACATAAATTATTTGATATGTGTGATGGCTAAGATATTTCACCGGTGCCCATATCGAATCAAGTGGTTTTCTTAGGGAGTCACACGCGGAGTCTTTGACCCAAAAGTCTAGTCCACAAGACAGTGGAGCAACGTCAAGGTAGCCGTTTATCAATAATTGGTTCATACTCCATTTGTTCCTTCTGGATTCTGGAGCCCATGTGCACTAGTGTTTAGGAATGAGGGTTTTCCAACTCCTTTAAAGGGGTCCTCCATATCTACCAACATGTTTATGGTGCCAGACATTCGCTTGTCGTCCTCTCATTTCGTAAACAACACCCCTGCTGCGAGATGGCAATGAGTAGGACTTCCTTGTAAGTGGTTGTATGAACGTAGCCATGTGACAGCATTACAAGAGATTGAGCTAACTCTCCCCACTCTTGGCCGTATTAGGGCATTTGGGGGCTTATACAATCTTAACATTGTGCCATGACAACGATTTATTATTGACTGATATGAGCGACCTAGCATCGGTGCTTTTTCTGCCTAACCCTACCTGTTGAATACAGAACGCTAATATCAAAGTTCAGTACATAATTCTCTTTTAATACAGACATACTTGATTTATATGTAAACGAATCGGAAGACACCATACTATAAATAAGGAATAACATTTATATAAGATAAAGCCAAAACGTGGCTGTGATTGTGGGAGACGGTAATTATTAAATGGAATATAATTTAAGAAAAGTGAATCGCTTAATAATAATCAGTAGGTTAAGAAAAAGCTAATCATGAATGAAATGCAGATGAAGACAGCAAATGTCGCAACAGCCTCCACATCAATAGGACTCAACATACACAAAGGAAAAAGCAGGATTCTCAAATACAACACGGAGAACACCAACCCAATCACACTTGATCGATGATAAACAAGGAGGATCGGATGCAGATGTGAAGGCGAGGATTGACAAAGCAAGGGCAGTATTTCTACAATTGAAGAACATATGGAAATCAAAACAACTGTCAACTAACTTCAAAGTGAGAATCTTCAATACGAACATCAAGACAGTCATACTGCACGGAGCTGAAAAGTAGAGGACTGCCATATCCATTGTCAAGAATATACAAGTATTTATAAACAGTTTTCTACGCAACATACTCAACACTCACTGTTGGGATACCATCAACAACAGCCTACTGTGCGAGTGGACAAACTAGCTTCCAGCTGAAGAGGAAATTAGGAAAAGACATTGGAAGTGGATTGAACATACTCTAAGGTATACAGAATTCATTCAAATCCTTCAATAATTCTTTATATTCAACAATTTAAAACAATTAAAGATCTTATCATCCATTAAATGAACCTTGAATTGTCTTCACTTTAAAAAGGATCTATGTTTTAAACTATTATTATAAATAAATACAAAGTTCAAGCTTGAGTTTGTGGATTGCCATTACCTCATCAGTGCATTAAATATTGATTCAACCCCCTTTCGCTCTATAGAATCAAAGGAACCGGATTGAAAAGGGGATCAAATAAATAAATACAACATTGATAATGGTGTATTAATTAACCCAAAAATGATGTGTAATTGACATCTTGGTAGAATACAATGACGATCATGATCTTGAAATGTAATAATGATATAGAACATCTTTTAGAATTAAGGTTGCTTATGATTAGTTTTGTTGATTCATTCAATTTAACAGGCAGTATCTTTCGAACAGTGACAGTGTGTCTATTTCATTACATTATTATTATGTTTGTATAAACATATATGCTTAAACAGATATGACAGTCTATTCACATATCCTACACTCTAACTTAAATGGTTGTCTCTTTAATAATGATCGATAAATTATTCACTTTCTCAATAATATGTGCTTGAAATTTAGTAATTACTATGACTTGCATTGCTTCACCTCCATTTGATGCGTATCCGTCTCTGTACACACACGTTCGTTCTCACGTATTAGTCTTTCGGTTAAAATTCGTTTGATAACACGATGGCATCTCAAGTGAATGATACTTGGTTCAATTCCATAATGGACATTTATGTACATCTAGCTGACGAGTACCAAATCTAACGAAACTCCTATCCTTGATTCCACTATGCACCTTAGCTTATAAAATTGTTGAGACTTATTTAATCACATTTATTAGGGCGTAAAGAATTATCTCGAAGATAAGCCAAAACAAAGACTTGAAATATTATACGTAGATAATCATAGCTGTACGAACACTTCAGTTTTTACCTTGTTTTTTAACTTTTCTCCTCATTTCACGTTGTCAAAAGGAGTAAAAAATGTGTAATATGCTTTCAAATGATGATGATGATGATGATGATGATGATGATGATGATGATGATGATGATGATGATGATGATGATGATGATGATGATGATGATGATGATGATGATGATGATGATGATGATGATGATGATGATGATGATGATGATGATGATGATGATGATGATAAAGGTTGAGAAAAGCGAAGTGTAGAAAATAGAAAAAAATTGAGGACTTTGAGAATCATGAAGGATGTAAAGAATATTTTATAAAAGAACTCTATAATTTTATATTGAATAGTAAGTCGCTGCATTGCAACTTGATCGATATCATTCGATCTGCAATAGAAATACTTCACACACATGACATTGATTATAACACAGTGACCAGTCAATTGTGATTACATCTCAGTCCTACAGGAGGTCGGTCCGGAGAGCTCAGTGATAACGTCTCTCATTGTGAAGCTGAATGACACGGCATCGAATCCGTCAGGGAGCACCAGTTTCCTCAAGATTACAGGTACACCTTGTTGACGAGTGCCAAGTAGCACGAAACCTGGGTCCAAGGTTTCCTGTTGACCACCTCCAACCACCATCTAATCTCAACATAGTTCACACAGTGTCGACCCACCTAGACTAGTGGCCACATTGCAACTTGATAGGTAGCATTCGATAAGCACTAGAAAGACATGACAAACATGATATTGATCGCCACTCAAGTGATCAATCAATTGTGAGCAAGTCGTTCATCTACACCTGAGTTCTGTTTCACTTCATAAGTCCCATATATTTTTTTAGATGTGTCAACAGCAGAAAAGAATCTTGTTTTTTAAGGAAACTTTGTATTTGTTCACAATTGCAACCGAAGCAGAACAATGTAACTAAGTGATGAATATACTACGGAGATCTAAAATTTATTGATTACTTTCATAATTTTGTTCGAATATTTGAGTCTCACTTCGAATTTTAGACTGCATTAAGAGTGCTATTAAATACAGTACGCCACTCATTTATCGTATTCCTAAAAATGGGAAATCAATAAATACACATCAATGTAAAGTACCATATAGTTGCTAAGCTTAAAAGTATCATGTCTTTATAGTTGAAATCATGAATCCATTGAAGCTAGACTAACATGAAAAACCTGAAGCACTAGATGGCCGTTTCGTCCTATTGTGAAACTCCTCTGCAGTGCGTATCCACGATCCCGCCCAGTGGTCTAATGGTTGAGCGCTCTCGCGCAGGAATGATAAGTCCTGGGTTCGAATCTCGTGGATGCGCACCGCTGAGGAGACTCACGCTTGGACGAAACGGCCATCCATTGCTTTCAGATTTTACATAGTGGTCTAGTTTCAATTGATTCACGATTTCCATCATGAAATTACTAAAATCTCTACAAACCTCTCCTGGTACGATATCTTTGATTGCTAGCTATTGTTATCGATATATAAGCTGAATAGTAAGTAATATTCCACATTATTCGAAACTATCTAATGACTCCTTCTCATTGAAAGCACTTTTGATATCTATTCAGAATTCATTCACTTCATCCACCGTTCGGTAAAGTATTTGATGATTGAAGTATTGAAAGGGTTTCATTTTTGCGTATTTCCGAATTTTATTTATATTGTATTCTGGATAACTATTAAATTTGTTTCGATTACAATGTCACCGGTACAGTTACTTGCTTACTTACTCATTTACTACTGTTACTTCATGTGGTGGGGCATGGGCCGCTCACCAACAGCCTCTATCCAACTCTGTTCTAGACAATCCTTTTCAGTTGTTCTCAATAGGATTTCATTGTACTTCCGATTTCCGACGCAGTATGTTCCTTGGTATTTCTCTTTTCTATTACCCTTCAGAATTCTAGGTAAACGCTTGTTTCATGATGCAGTATGGTGATTTCCGCTTGTAGCTCTTCTACAGTTACTTTCAGTCCTTAGCTCGGGTACAGGAGGAGAGTTGGAGAAAACGTCAACAACCCTACTTCGTAGAAGACAATCTCTAAGAATATAACAATTACATTAAACAAATTATCAACAAGAGTAGTTGGTGTATACTAAGTTGATCATTGAAAATATAATGAAATGTTAGAACTTGTAAAAACAAAAACAAAACACGAATTTCATTTACTTACCAGATTCCATTCAAAAAGCTTCAAAATATAAATCGTTCAAAAGAACAAGTGATTGAATTTCAAGTAGATACAAATGATCTTAAACCATAGAATTTCGATTGGGATTTTGAACAGACCATCCCCAAGTATTACAATGGTGTGTACTACTGATGTCCATCAATATAAGCATTATGTATCATTAGTCGTTAGTGGAATGTCTGTTAGGAGAAGTTTAAGAAGGTCGAAGGAGAGAGAACGTGAACAGAAAACGATGGTTGTCGAAATTAAAGACCAGTGAAGTCTGAGACTATTGATTGAAATTTCACAAATGAAATACTAACTCTAGGGTTCTGTAATTTCATACCCGAATACATTGCTTTGTCCTCACTTGTATTCTCGTTCACTACAATACCATAAGCTTTTCAGTTGATCAACGCTGTTCATATATACCAACACTGGAAATGTTCAGCATTAAGGTTAATGGTAGCTGCAGCAATGGTCGTTTAATAAACTTCTTTATTTTGAATTCACTTAGTACTGTTTGTTTAAATCTTCCCATTGATATTTTTAGGACTGCAACTGGTCAGTCTCTAGTTCGCATATGTGCATATTGTGCGTATTGCCTCGATATAGCCTTATTTCACAAGCATTGTAGGCAAAGATGGACAATGGCTGGCAATGGAATCCAGTACGCGCATCTCGTCCTATTTGGGATTCGTCAGCTAAGTGTACTGCATCTCAGAGTTGATGTTCACTCTGGGACTCGAACCCAGTACCTTTCGCTTCAAACGCCACCGCGTTATCCACTCGACCACTGGGTCCTGATATATTGTGTTAGAAAAAAGCATGAATGAATTATATTTCGTTTATCTCCTAATATGAATATTTTCTGAATATAAATGACTAAGTAAACCACATTTTGGCGTTCCTAGCGTTCGATGCAAAATGCTGAGGGTTTATGCTTCTCCAAGAGGAGTAATCGGAGTAAATAAGTAAACTACACTTTACTAAAGCAGTCACTGAACTCATAAGTTACATGAAAAGTGTTGACACCGTGAATTCAACTTACCAAATCAAGCTAACCAGCGATCTAGTTTGAAAATAAATTAATAAGATGACATAAAATTTTATTTATTAAATTTAAATTCTGATTGATTAGTTAAAGCTCGAGTGCGAGATTGATAGGTCCTGGGTTTGAATATCAGGAGGCGGGATCGTGGATTCGCACTGCCACTAAGGAGTCCCACAATAGGACGATACGACCGTTCAGTGCTTCCAGGTTTTCCATGTTGGTCCAACTTCAATTGACTCATGATCTCAATTATATAAAATCACTAAAATCTCCAAAAAACCCCGTTCTGATAAAGCTAATTAATGATGGTTGTTGATTTCAACGCAGCATAATGTGTAGTTAGAAGTATACTGATAATTAATACAAAAGACTGTTATGTTGCACAAACTTATGAAGGTTTGGATATAATGAACAAGTTAATCTGGACATCAGTTCACTCCAACACAGTCACTTGTGTATTCACATGATTACTTAAAATGAGTATGGAAAGTTAATTTCTTAGCTTAAAACTAATGAACCACATAGAATGACAGATTGAAATGTGAACCCCTAAAGTAGAAGAAATGAACAGACAATTCTAACATTTTCACAGTTTAATTTACGAGTCAATCTAAGCTAGATAACCAGTGAAAAGCTGGATGTATTAGATGACCATTTCGTCCTAGCATGGGTTTCCTAAAAAATGCTCATCCATGATTACTCACTTGAAACTCAAACCTAGGATCTTTGGTTTCGGGCGCGAGCATTTAACCTCTAGGTCACTGAGCTGCATACGAGATAAAGGATATGCAGTGCTCAGGAGTCTCATACTAGGATGACACGACCATCCATTGCTTCCAGATTTTCACTGGTTATCTAGCTTAGATCAACTAGTGATTTATACCATGGATATAATTCAATCTCCACAAATCCTCATACTAATAATTGCAATACTCTCAAATGTCACGTATATTTTTCTTATTACAGTATCTTTATCACTATGCAAATATTCATCAATACAATGAGTGTTATCCGCTTAGCTTATAATATAATGGGTTCCATAGTACAAGTGAATGAATTATGGATGGATGAATTCATCGTTTCCTGTCTATATCACTCTGAAAGAAACTTATCATCGGAGTGCATACCACTTAATTTTCAACATTCTGACTAAAGCCAGAGAAGTTTGAATTCACTTGGTGTTGTTTTGCTTGCATCTTCCCATTGATGCTTGGGACTTCAATTGTTCATTGACATATATGCATTCTATACGGATGGCCTCGATATTGCCTGAATTCATAAGCATTCTAAGCAAAAATAGACAGTGGCTAGCAGTGGAATCCCGAACACGCGTTTCGTCCTATTTAGTGCTCGTCAGCTGGATATACCTTCATTCCTTCGGGAATCGAACCCAGTACCTTTCGCTTCAAACTCGATTGCGTTCTTCATTTAGCTATGAGTTTGTATTGATGTCAAGAAAATACTTGGAAACTATTGATTTGACTAATGTTTATCAATAACAAACGTAAATATCAACAATGGTAACTCACTCAACTAATGACCAGAGTTTTCTTGAATATAACGAATACAGAAATGAATACAAAGTTATTGATAGCTGATTCAAATGGATCCCATATTACATAAAAGTATACATTATGAACTCAATAAATCAGTATGTAAATATGAAGAATAACTCATTGGGATTGAATTCATTAAAATGAATGCTGGGTTCGAGTCCCAGAGAAGACATCAACTTTAAGATCCAGGTGCATCCAACTGATGAGTCCGAAATAGGACGAAACGCGCGTCCTCGATCCCACTACCAGACACTATCCATCTTTGCTTATAATGCTTGTGAATTAAGACTATATCGAAGCAATACGCGCAGTATGCACATATACAAATAAGATACTGATTAATTGCAGTGCTCAACTTCAATGAGAAGATTCAAACAAACAATATTAAGTGACTTTAATTTTATCAATAGTTTGTAATTTTCATTTACTCCAATTATATATTGTGGCATTTGCTACTGATGTTGGCAAATATTAGTAGTATATATCATCAGTCAAATGTGA